GTTTAACATTTATGTGATATAATTGTGAGAAACATTTAAGATATACAATTTATAAGGTTGAGTTATTCAGTATTTATTTGGTTTTGGGTGAGTAAGTGATCTTTGAGAAGAAACTTGAATTTATAAACAGGTAGTGTTTCTTTTATATTTACAGGTAATGAATTCCAGATTTTTAGGGCCTTTTATGTGCATTGAGTTTTTGCATAGTGTGAGATGGACACGAGGAACATCAAAGAGTGATCTGTGCCTTGTGTTATGGTCATGTGTTCTGTTGAGGTTGGCAAGGAGATGTTTGAGGGGAGGGTTAATATCAGAGTTAAGTGTTCTATGTATTAATAGGTGCAGTAATAAGTATGGATGTTTTGTATGGTGAGTAGGTTTAGTGTATTGAATATTGGTGGAGTGTGCTGCCTGTAGTGAGAATTTGTTATCATTCTAACTGCAGCCTTTTGTTGGGTAATTAGTGGTCTGAGATGGTTAATTGTTGTTGAGCCCCATGCACAAATTCCATAGGTGAGTTTAGGGGTAAATAAGTGAGTGATATAGGGCCAGGAGGGCTGACTGTGGAGCATAGTACCGTATCTTCGATTTGTATGCCTACAGTCTTGGAAATTTTTTAGAAATTTGTTGTATATGTGTATGAAATTTGAGTCTATTATCAAGGTGGATTCCTAAGAATTTTCCCTCTGTTAGCTTTGTGATAGGTGATCCGTTTATCATTATGTTAAGAGGGACATCTGTAGCTCTGTTACCAAACTGAATGAAGTAGGTTTTGTCAATGTTTAGTGTAAGTTTGTTAGTCCTCATCCAGGTAGATATTTTTCTGTAATTCGGTATTTACAGTATTGGCTAGCGTGACTGGGCTCGGGTGGGAGAAGACGTGTGTAGTGTCATCTGCAAATAGTGTGGGTTTGAGTAATTGCGAAGCATTTGGTAGGTCATTTATGTATAGGAGAAAGAGAAGAGGGCCAAGGACACTTCCCTGTGGGACACCAACTGTAATTGGTTGTGCAGAAGAGTTTGCCCCATTTGCGTCCACATATTGGCTTCTGTTGCTGAGGTATGACTTGAGGTAGTTGAGGGAGTGCCCTCTTATACCATAGTGTGACAATTTTACGTGGAGCAAGTCATGGTCAACTGTATCAAAAGCTTTACGTAAGTCAATGAAGATCCCCAGTGGGACTTCTTTTTTCTCTATTGCAGTGTATATATGTTCTAGCATGTGTACAATAGCATCATTAGTATTTTTATTAGGCCTGAATCCAAATTGGCAGGGGTTGAGTATGTTTTGGGAGATAAGGTAGGATTATTATTATTATAATCAAGGGGGAAGCGCTAAACCCGGAGGATTATACAGCGCCTGGGGGGGGATATGTGGAAGGCATTCAGGCTTAATTCGGGGAACTGGAGCACAGATCCAATTCCCTAAATCAAGAGCCCCTCACCAACATCAAGGAACCTTCCTTGAGGGGAGATAAGGTAGGAGTAGATTCGTTTATGAATTAATTTTTCGAAGATTTTTGAGAGAGGGTGTAAGTTGGATATTGGCCTATAGTTATTCAACTCTGTTTGGTCTCCTCCTTTGTGGATCGGGGTGACCCTTGCTATTTTGAGTACTGTAGGGAAGGTGGAGGATTCAATGGATTTGTTAAAGAGTGTTGCAATGATTGGTGATAGCACTTGTGACACTTTTTTGTATATAAAGGGTGGTAAGGTATTTAAATCTCCTGCCTTGTTTTTTAGTGCGTTGATAATAAGGGAGACTTCGTATGGGTTAGTCGGAGCTAGGAACAGTGTGTTCGGGTAGTTGCCGGTGAGGTAGTCATTTGGTGGGGTATCTGAGCTTGGGATTTTATTGGCAAGGTTTTGTCCTATAGTGGAGAAGAAATCATTGAGTCTGTTTGCTGTTTCTGTTGGAGGGAGTTGAGATTCATCTGATTTTGCTAATTTTATTTCGCTATTTCGTGATATCTTTTTTGTTCCCAGAATTTCTGATAGGGTTTTCCAGGTCTTTTTTATATCACCTCGTAAGTTGGATAATCTGTTCTCATAATACAATTTTTTGCCCTTCTTATCAGGCTGGTTAGGATTGACGAGTAACGTTTTGTTTGGTCTCTGGTTATGTGACCCATTCTGTACTGTTTTTCATATTGGTGTTTTGTATTGATGGATTTGAGAATGCTGGGTGTTAGCCAGGGACTGTTCAGTCTCTTAGCTGTCATTTGTTTAGTTTTTTTAGGGCAGTGCTTATTATAGAGGTATTGGGTCTTTTTTAGAAAATTATTAATACATTCGTCAATATCTGTATAGATTTCTAGCTCAGTGTGCCAGTCAATGTTTGCTACTGCTGTTGTGAAGTTATTAATGGCTGCCTCATTGTGAAGTCTGAAGGTGACTTTAGTAGTGTCTTGGGTAGTTTACCAAGAGTTGTTATGAGAAAGTAGGGTAGTGGTCTGTGGTATTATCTGTAATTATGCCTGATTTTAAAGGGGATATGGTGTTGGTCCAGATGTGGTCAAGTAGGAAACACTAGTCTCTCGTAACTCTTGTAGGTTTTGTTACTGCTGGTAGCAACAACAGTTACTCATTGTGTTTGTGATTCAGTAACGTGTGGATCCTGGTCTTGCAGGAGATTTATATTGAAGTCACCTGAGAGTAGTAAGTGATCTTTGTTCATGCGTGCATCAGTTATCATACTTCCTAGGTTTTGACTAAATTGGCTAATGTTTGACTGTGGAAACTCTGTAGATGTTTATCAATGTGAGAGGTTTTTGTAGGTATTTGGATTTGAATTTAGCTATTATATATTCCCCATGTTCATCCCTTGTGCAAGTATTAGTGATACATTCTAGTTGGTCTGAGTAGTATATGGCTGTGCCACCCCCTTGTTGGTCTGGCCTACAGTTGTGTATGGCTGTGTAACCAGGAATGGCATAGACATCTGTAGTATCAGGCTTTAGCCAGGTTTCAGTTAGTGTAATGAATGACTATTGGCATGTAAGGAATTTAGTAATGCTATGAGGTCATCGTAATGCTTGCTTAAAGATCTGATATTGTAGTTAAAGATAGTTATGTTGTTATTGGCACTGAGAAGTGCCTTTGATTGTTCTGCAGTGTAGTAATTACAGTAACTGTTTGGTTCATTTAAGTCATTATATAAGAGGTTGGTATCAGGATCAATGCTTGTAATCATAAGATTTGTAGTGAATCTATAGTTAGAAATAAGTATAAAACAAAGTAAATAGTCTTAAGCTAAAAAATAGCACCTGAACTATTTAACAAATGTAAAATAATGAGTTAAGGTAGTTTTTTTTTATTCTTTTTTTTTTTTTTAAGCTAAAATAAAGGAGACAATATAAAAGGGACTAATACAAATAAAGTGATGATCAAATAATGGAGCTTGGGAATATGATAGTAGGTAGTACTATAAGAAAAAGATACTCTACCATTTCATAAGAAAAAATAACAAAATTTTTTTTGAAAATTCTTGGACCCTGACTGTCACTCTGAGATTTGGCCTCTGGACCCTGAAAGGGTTAATGAATACTGTACATTCAGATAAAGTACACGGCAATAAAATTATGCACTCACTCCATGAAGAGCAAAGTTAATGTTGCATATTTTAACCCTTTGACTACCGCAACACCAAATCCTGAGGTGTCTCCTGGTGCCGAAAAAAAAAAATTCTTATGAAATGATAAGAGAATCTTTTCCCAATGGTAATGAAACCAAAAGAACGAAATTTCATGGAAAACCTATGGAATTACGCTCTCGCGAAGTTAGCGACCTCGTCGATATTTACGAATTGGTGATTTTGCCCACTTTGAGCCCCATTTTCGGCAAATTTCATTGTTCCAGTCGGCCAAACTCATAACTATTTCTTTATAACTACATTTGTTCTGTTGAGTGAATACAAGAAACTGCCCATTTACCGATTTCAACTACCCAATAACGTGGTCAGAAAATTGCAATATGGCCAATTTCACGCAAATTAAAAAATATGCCAATTTCAAAATATGGTCCAGAATGAACAATGCATACATTCCTGGCTCTAAAATAACATTTTCTTTGTTCATCAGTCATGTCTCCAGGTCCCTCTGATATTACTCTTGCTTTCTATTTTGAATTTTTATTCAAACAAAAAATAGAAGATTTACTGTTACGCAGACTACTGCAATATTGTAATAATTGTATAAATAATGTCAACTCATTCATGACTGAATATTAGAATGCCTAGTTGGACATTTCTTGGAAAATGACATCATTTATTTACTTTTGAACATCGGCAAAAATCAAATCTTTCCTCTATTTTGAGCTCCATTTCAAGGTTCTTTTCTTAGTAAAACCAATCAAAATCACCTCTATTTCTATAATATGTTTTCCATTCTATCAAATGAGACCAAGAAAACGAGAATACAACCATAAATACTATATGAAAATACACCACAAATTCGGCATTTTAATCCAAAAACACGGTCAGAGTATTTTTTTCTTATTATGCAGTGCGTGCTGCAGGATTTTTTTATCTGGTGCACACTGACCACACAGACCCATTCTCTCACATGTGGGCCTATCAGCTTTTTCCTGCTTGATTTGAAGCCGCTAGAATTTTTGAGTATATATATGTCAAACACGGTGGCTTGTAAGACGTATATATACGACCAAAACAGTCAAAGGGTTAACTACATATCAGCAGAGGATAATTATACAACCAATATTTTAACTATTTATATGACTAAACTTGTATTAACCTAAACAGATGAAACTGTTACATTTCTTCACATCAATAATGTTTATACAAGTTAAAAATAAAAAAAAAATTATTTGCTATAATATTTACAAATGCTCATTATTGCTTGCATGAAACTCAGTTATAAAAATTTCCCTTATCATTTATGCAAGCAAAAAATTACACATCAAATTGTTATATATATTGTATATAATATTTGAATGTTGCTCAAACTTGTTAAATACACTATCCAACTTTGTTAACATTAAGACTAAAATATATTCATAATGGACTTTAAACATGCAGGAATATTATAAGTACCATCTTCCTGCTGCTGGTTTTCCATTAAGAGGCCTAGCAGACGAGCAACATGACAAGTTCTAACGTGTATCATGGACAAAAAACTTGCTGGCCTGCCACTGGATTTACAGAGAGTCCACAGTCTTTTGCTGATATAATCACTACATAAAGAAATTCGTCCAACCTCGTGGTATTTTCCTGTACTTACAGAAAATATATGAACCCCAACAGCAGCTGCCTCATGACTGTCTAGGTGCTGGGCAGAATACTGAATTACTTTAAAATGAAGCCCAAGTTCTATATAACTCTGTATCAATGTAAGCAATATCTCATCTAACAATTGCATTTCCTGTACTGGATTACATTCATGAACAATGAAAACATCAACAACTGTAGACTGCCTGCAGCCAAGTAGACCTGGGAACTTAGAATTGGATGGAGAATAATTACGACCAACAGTAATTAATTTTTGTGGGAGATATTCTGGTTTTTCTAAAAGTTGTTTTGCAAAACAAGCAGAAAATGCTGCTAAAGATCCACCTCCTACAAGGTGCAATGAATTTTTATCTAAGTCTGCCTCCTGAGAAACAACTTTATTGAACTTGTGTCTGTCAACATATTGAACACCACAACCCTCTACAACAATAGCTTTTACAAAATCTGGATTTGACTGATGCATATACCCAAGAACTTTAAACCTTGATAAGAAATATTCACTACATGCAAGTTCAAGTATGGCCAAACCATTTTTAAGATAATAAGCAGTGGGTGAATTATTCAAAAACACTAATTCTCCAGCACTCTCTCCTAACTGAACATGGTCCTTGGGTTGATATGTGAAAGAGGGCTTATCAGACAAGTTAAAAATTTGTTTATTATCAAGGCCAGTGGTGTGATGAAGATAATTTGGAAGCTGTAGAGCTGCAATCACTGCTGTCTCTTCCAGATCCCATATGTGTGCAGACAGGTCTTTTACCTGTTCTCGAATCTTCTTCCCACACTGTTTTAATTCACTCACCATCTCTTTACTGCCTGACTTATTTTTCAATGTTTTTATTTTCTTAGCTATGATTTCCCTCTTCTCTTCAAGTTGTTGTTGTTGATGTTCCAATTCCTTCCACTCTTTCCATTTGCTCACAATATGTCTAACATTTATACTTAATCCACGTTGTCTGATATTGAATTCTAGGTCACTCAGGCTTTCAAACTGTTGAGAAAAGTCCAAATAGGGTGAAAGAAATCCATCTACATTAGTTGCCTTATTCCCAGGCACATACAATGCAGCAGTTAGTGTGGTATTCTCTGGCAATTTCTTACTTTGTGAAAAGAAAATTCCCCTTTTCATATAAAACAAAATGTTAGTCCTTTGTAACTGGCAGACACTGCCAAGTGTTTTTAAAATCTTAATATAATAAACCATTTTTTATATACTTTAGGTCATCTGTTAAAGAAATTTAACTCTGTTTGTAAGATTAATCAACTTTTTCCAAGAAATGATTAAGCTAGATATAATACATACACCAAAGCAATCTTCCTAGCAACAAAAATGTTTAACTCTCTAGTTACACAGTACAGTACTTCTAGTTTTCTTGGACCTCTGATGTTGCCTTGTCTTGAGACTCTTCTGCAAACTCTTTGTTTAGGTCAAAATGTTCCACAGATTTTAAACCATCAATGTGATATAATTGAACATTTTCTAACTTGAGCATCTTGACATACTGGCGACCTAGAAGAAAGTGAACGTTGCATTACACTTTATAAAGCAGCTACACTTAAACTAAATAAGTGCTTGTATACACAAGAACAGTGGAGAACCAAAGTATGCCTACTGACCCATACATGTTCAATTCACACCCAATCTAGTTTCCATGTTCTGTTCTACTTCAAACTCATCTGCTAGTTGTTTTCTAAACTTCTGTTTGAGAAACCAAAATCATATCCAGTATACTTTTTAGTTACTGCTAATTTTGTCGAGTCACAGACTTTACTATGCTCTTGGAGGCCTACATGCAAGGGACTCCACAAGTTTAAATAACTCCTTTGTCAATACAGTTATGTGTCACTTAAACCACAGGCCCTCTCAGAGACTTGTTCTCAGGGTCCCCCAAATTTCAAAAAAAAAAAAAAAAAAAAAAAAAAAATTATTTTTTCTCATGAAGAGATAGAGAATCTTTTCCCGATCATGACACCAAAAGTATGAAATTTGATGGAAAACTTATGGAATTATGCTCTCGCGAAGTTAGCGGTCTTGACGATGTTTACGCATCGGTGATTTTGCTCACTTTGAGCCCTATTTTCGACCAATTCCAATGTACTAGTCGACAAAAATCATAACTATTTTGCTAGAACTCCATTTTTTCTATCGAACAAGTACAAGAAACCACCAATTTACCGATTTTAACTATCCAATACAGTGGTCAGAATTTAGCAATTTTGCCAATTTTACACAAATTTCAAAAGATGCTCATTTCCAAATAGGGTCCAGAATAAACAAGACAGATATTCCTGGCACTAAAATAATATTTCCTCTGTTCATCAGTCATGTCCCCAGGCTCCTCTTACATTTCTTTTGCTTTCCACTTTGAATTTTTATTCTCACAAAAAAAAAAATAAGATTTACTGTTATGCAGACTACTGCATTAGTGTAGAAATGGTATAAATAATATCGGCGCACTTGTGAAAGAATATTAGACTCACCAGTTGACGTGTATTGGATGCTTAGCATGATTTGTTTACTTTTGAACTTTGGTAAAAATCGAACATTTCTGCTACTTTGAGCTCAATTTCAAGGTACTTTTCATTGTAAAACCAGTCAAAATCATCTCAATTTCTGTAACATGTCTTCCATTCTATACAATGAGACCAGGAAAACTAGAATACAACAATAAATACCATACGAAAATATAGTGCAAAATCGCTGTTTTAATCCAAAAACACAAAGTTTTTTTTACAGGATTTTTTTTATACTGCGCACACTGACCACATAGACCCATTCTTTCATATGTAGGCCTACCAGCTTTCTCTCACTAGATTTGAAGGCACTAGAGTTTATGCGTACTAGTACGTCATGGACACTGGCGCATAAGCCGTACTAGTAGGGCCAAAACCCTGAAAGGGTTAACGACGGGGATACATTCTGATAAATGTGTCGTTAGAAGATTTCGTCATTGTACGAACATCATAGTGTATTAACACAAACCTAGATTTGCTTGTAAGCAGATAATGCACCACAAACATTCCTCTCTATTAATGAAAAACCTTTGTGGTGTTGGGGTCCTTGTTTTCAAACTTTTTAAGGAGCTTTACAGTACGGTGGTAGCCTAGAACCTAACCTGCCATATAAGCAGGGTCCTCCTGTACAATGACTTGATTATCGCACCATCGTAAAGTCAAAATATTGTAAAGTGAGGAGAATCTGTAATGCGATCCTTTATTGATGTTGTGCCCACACAGTAGGCTTTATCAAACCACAAACATAACTACCTGGGAAGAGAGGATGTGTGTGCATATATAGGGAACATAATGACATGAAAAGTCAGGTGAGATAAATATATGGCTTGAAAGAGGTTGGATCTGAGAAGGACCTCCTTAGCTTGGGCCAGTAAACCTGTTGCAGTACTTTCAAGATTTTTCACTTTATGAAGGAATAGTAAAAATAACAGAACAGCAGAAGACTTATAAAGCTGAAATAGGACCTCACAAATGATCCTACTCACTGAGTGTGGGAGTATAGTGAAGATTTAATCAAGTCACGTGTAATTTTTTTTTAACCCTTTCAGGGTCGGTCCCATTGTATCATGGCTTTGAAGCCAGTGTTGGTACCACAGTACAATGCCATGAACTCAGCTCACCCAGATAAGCTGGGCATAAATACGAGAGATAGGCCTATGCGGTAAGTGTTCACCATATAAAAATCCTTCAGCATGCAATGAATGAGAAAAAACTGACCATGTTTTTGGTTTAAAATAGCAACTTTGCGGTATATTTTCGTGTTGTTTTTATGATTGTATTCTCAGTTTCTTGGTCTTATTTAACAGAATGGAAGATATATTACAGAAACAGAGATGATTTTGATTAGTTTCAGGACTGAAAGTAGCTTGAAATTGAGCTCAAAGTAACAGAAACATTCGATTTTTGCTTATGTCCAACTGGCCAGTCTAATACACATTTAGGAATGCACTGACATTATTTATATAATTATTACAATAATGCAGTAGTCTGCATAATAGTAAATCTTCTATTTTTTGTGTGAATAAAAATTCAAAATACAACCATAAATACCTTACAAAAATACAGTGGACCCCCTGAGTTTCGTGATTAATCCGTTCCAGAGCGCCTGCCGAAATTCGAAATTCACGAAACTCGAAACCATTTTCCCCATATGAAATAATGGAAATAAAATTAATCCGGTCCACACACCCAAAAATATTAAAATAAAATTAATTTTTTTTCAAATTAAATAAAGATTTATGTACTGAAATCAATGAGAAATCAAGTACATAAAAAAATAATAATAACATTACACTTACCTTTACTGAAGACTTCTGGGTGGATGGAAGACAGGAGGAAGGTGTACACTATTGTTGGGAAGGAGAATCTCCTTCCATTAGGACTTTAGGTAGCAAGTCCTTATCTGGGGTTACTTCCCTTCTTTTAATGCCACTGGGAACAACTTGAGAGTCACTGGACCCTTGTCGCACAAAATATCTATCCAGAGAGGTCTTTTTCTGGCGTTTCTTTAAGATTTTCCTGAAGTGGGATACAACACTGTCATTGTACATGTTGCACATATGGCTTGTTTCAGCTTGGTCAGGGTGATACTTTTCAACAAAACTTTGCAACTCATTCCACTTGGCACAAATTTCCTTAATCTTCTTTGAAGAAGGCATCTCATCCACTCCCTCCTCCTCCTCCTCTGAAGCAAGTTCCTCGGCTGTGGTCTGATGCTGTTCCAGTTGAAGCTCTTGCAGTTTGTCAGTGGTTAGCTCTTCCCTGTGGACCTCCACCAACTCTTCCACATCCCCATCACTCACCTCCAACCCCATGGACTTGACCAATGCCACAACACCTTCCACAACAGGCAGAGGGTTGGCAGGGGCAGGGTCTGCCTCAAACCCTTCAAAATCCCTCTGGATCGTGTTCCTCACTTTATTTACCAAACGGCTTGCACTAGCTTTCCTTGGGTCCGTGATGACTTATTTAGCAGTTGCAAGCACAAAAAACAATGGATTATTATGAAATGTATTGTATGAACCAGCGGGGTGATGGTCACGTGTTGGTAAACAATGGCACACTGAGCGTGAATGGCGTGGGAGACTGGCTTGGTGTGTGCGGTGACGGGCGGACGGGTACCGGACGGTCGCCGAAACACGAGTCTAATCACAAAACTCGAGGCCAAATTTTGCCAAAAAAACTCGCCGAAGGTCGAATTTCACAAAAGTCGAGGCTGCCAAAACTCGAGGGTCCACTGTACAAAGATAAATACCATGCAAAAATACAGTGCAAAGTCGCTGTTTTAACCCTTTGACTGTTTTGGTCGTATATATACGTCTTACAAGCCAGTGTTTCGGATGTATATACAGTGGACCCCCGGTTTACGATATTATTTCATTCCAGAAGTATGTTCAGGTGCCAGTACTGAACGAATTTGTTCCCATAAAGAATATTGTGAATTAGATTAGTCCATTTGAGACCCCCAAACATACACGTACGAACGCACTTACATAATTGGTCGCATTGGGAGGTGATCGTAAAGCGGGGGTCCACTGTATACTCAATAATTCTAGCGGCTTCAAATCAAGCAGGAGAAAGCTGGTAGGCCCACATGTGAGAGAATGGGTCTGTTTGGTCAGTGTGCACCACATAAAAAAAGTCCTGCAGCACATAGTGCATAATGAGAAAAAAACTGACCGTTTTTTTGGATTAAAACGCCGAATTTGAGGTGTATTTTCGTATAGTATTTATCGTTGTATTCTCGTTTTCATGGTCTCACGTGATAAAATGGAAATCACATTACAGAAATAGAGATGATTTTGATTTGTTTCACGATGAAAACGACCTTGAAATTGAGCTCAAAGTAGCGGAAATGTTCGATTTTTACCAATGTTCAAGAGTAAACAAATCACACCACACGTCCAATACACGTCAACTGGGGAGTTTAATATTCTTTCACTAGTGCACTGGTATTATTTATACCATTTTTACAATAATGCAGTAGTCTGCATAACAGTAAATTTTGTATTTTTTGTATGAATAAAAAATCAAAATAAGAACATAAGAAAGAAGGAACACTGCAACAGGCCTACTGACCCATGCGGAGCAGGTCCATGTCCCCCCCCCCGGATTAGACCAATGACCCACCCAGTCTGGTCATCCCCACTCAAGGATGGAGCACTGTACCAGACCCAGCAGCACAAGCTAGTCAGGTCCAACTCACACCCACCCACACCCACTCATGTATTTATCTAACCTATTTTTAAAACTACACAACGTTTTAGCCTCAATAACTATACTCGGGAGCTTGTTCCACTCATCCACAACTCTATTACCAAACCAGTGCTTTCCTATATCCTTCCTGAATCTGAATTTTTCCAACTTGAAACCATTGCTGCGAGTCCTGTCTTGGTTGGAAACTTTCAGCACACTATTTACATCGCCTTTATTTATTCCTGTTTTCCATTTATACACCTCGATCATATCCCCCCTAATTCTATGCCTTTTGAGAGA